CTCGTCGTCGAGATCCAAAAGTCTATTTACATTCGGAACGAAGAATAATACATGGCGGCGAAGAGCAAGAATTTCTTCATCTTCCAAAAAAACGTTAATTGGAATCGAGCAACGAAAAGAACAAAGGACAAAATTCCATTCGACGAATTCCAAAAGCCTATTATATTCCAGGACAAAGAATAATACATCGCAAAGGAGAAGATGAAAAGAAGAAGAAGAAGAAGAAGAAGAAGAAAAAGAAGAGTAGGAGGGATATCTCGCCAAAGGACGATCTCGTCAAATCCACGAATTTCAAAAATTCCCCGCTACATCGAGGACAAAGAATAATACACATCGCAGAGCAAAAGAAGAAGAAGAAGAAGAAGAGGAGCATCGCGCCATAAGGCGTACGCCGAGTTGTGCGCGGCATAGAGCAAGCGTACCTACAACGACGATGCACCTGCACCTGCCCGCCAGTTGCACCCCTCTTTACGACGATGCTATCTAGGATGGTGTGCATGCCCCCCTCGCCTCTGCTCGCTTTCGCTGCTCCTGCCGCCGCCGCCGCCGCGACACCTGACGCACTCCTCCTCCGTGTACACGCGCCTCTCTCTCTCTCTCTCTCTCTCTCTCTCTCTCCGCACGATGACGCGAGCGCGCGCGTGCACGCCGCTTTGTGAGAAGTACCATTAACCTGGCTTCTCACACATCCACCGGTCCCGATTCTTCCAAGTCTGCCTCTCTCTCTTTCTCTCTCTCTCTCTCTTCGAGGAAAGTTTACCACCTACCGACGATTTTGGTAGGGAATATTGTTGGTAGGTTCCTCGAATGCGCGGCTCTGTTCAAGAGAGGAGTTTAGGATTTTGAAGGTTTTGGTTATGGATATTTCTTGGGGGGAAGGATATTATTATGATGCACGTTCGAGTTTTTGGATCTCTTTTAGAGGAAGATTTTTTTTAAGGGATTTTTTTAAGAGATTGAGATTTCTTCAATTAGATTGTAATTGTAATTTATCGAAAATTTTATCTCTCCAATTGTGAAGAATTCTTGTTCAACTACTTTTTTTTAGAATTTTTTTTATTAAATCCCCTTTCCTCGAGGTGTAGAAGAATCTAAAATTTTCGAACAAATCGAGGTTAAATTGAGAGATTTAATAACGGGGGATGTATCATCACGTTTCAGATATACCGGCACAAGTGCCGCCGTTAACACCTGGGACCAACAAGAAGATGACCGAGGCCCTGGAGGCCTCTTTCGCCTCCTGGGAGAAGGAACGAGTCCGCCTCAACATAACCAAAGGTGAGTGCCGCCTTTTTTCCTTCCTTTTCTTCTTCTTCTTCTTCTTCTTCTTCTCTCGATACACGATATATCCCAATCTCGCGGAAAACGTTCCTTTCTTTTTTTCTTTTCTTTTTTTCTCTCTTTTTTTGCTCCCTTCTCTTTATGCGCGTTTCATGGCGTACAGGTTTCTCGACGATTTCTAATTATCCTCTCATTACCGCGATACAGCGATCCTGATTCGCGAGCTTTGACGGTTTCATCTGAAAAAAACATATTTTCTTCTTTGCATATCGATTACTCGATTCATTTATGCGTGAGTGATTTCTTTTTTTTATTTCTTCTTCTTATTTCAATGATTTTTTTTTGTCAATATTTATAGATCGATATTAAAGTAAAACAGAGATGTTATTAATTTTAATCTGCTTAAATTGTCATTTAATGATAAATAAATCGATACAAGTCGAACATTAATCACCATTAAAATGTAATTATTTAATCAAAAATAAGAAACATTATTGATCTTGTTTTTGCATACTTATTATTGCATAATCAGCCAAGGTTTTAATTGACGTAACATTGTATATTTTCTCTGTCTCGCTTCATCCTTCAAAAACCGTACATACATTTTACGCTATGACGCAATCAATCTCAATATTCCAAAATCAGAGTTGAGCAAAAAATAATTAGTTAAAAATCTGGAATAAAGTATTGCTTTAATCAATTACTTATCACTAAATTAAATTTATTCGCGGTTATTATAATCCGTTTCTCGTCCAACCAGTACAATTATTACGCGTTGAACGACAAATTATTAAAAACTAACTTTATTCGTAACCTCAACTGTCCTCCTTAAACTCCAAAACCATCCAACAAAAAAAAAAGAAGAAAAAGAAGCACTTGAACCGATTTATCCCGAGAAGATTACCCCGATCGAGCGACGAAAAGAGAAAAAAAGAAAGAAAGAAAGAAAAAACGAACGAAAGAATGGGAGAAAAACGAAAAGGCAAAAACCAGTCTTCTCGTCTCGTTGCACAATCGGTCACGGTCGGGCGCGGGCGGGTGAAATTTGTCGAAAAATCGTGGCGGGCCGCTCGTGGCCCTTTCGAAATGAAGGGGAGGAGGAGGGGGAGGTGGTGCGTGCATCGCGTC